TCAAGGGTCTGAGGCTTTTACAAAAGACAAAAATAGTCACAGAGGACTTCAGGGGTTTCCCCTTCCATCCTGCAAAACGTCCCTGAGGCAAAGGAGCATACAAGGAACTGGTTCCTACTTGAAATCGGCGAAGAAGGAAAAAGATGTGTGGGGAGAAAAACCATACCTTAATATTTCAATAAATTGTTATACCACATATGTAGTTGTGTTTTAATTAAGTTATTTTATAATCAGTTTTGATGACTTTGTCATATGAAATTGGTCTCTAGAATAGAACCCCAACACATACTGCTGTACCCGTAAAAAGCAAGGACACAGAGACCTCAGCAGGGTATTGCTATGAGTAGAGTGAGCATATGTATTATAGCTCAAACTGGGACACATGTGAAATAGGAAGGAATTGCTATCAATAATTACACCAGAGCAGTAAGAGTGAGCTGAAACCACCCTGGGCAAACTCAAATACATGGGCACTCCACCTATAAATGATAGAGGCAGAATTTGAACGTGGGTCTGTGTTACTCCCACTGTTGGGATATTAATTAGGATAATCTGTAGCCAGCTCAACAGATTGACCACAAGTGCTTTATTCCACATCCATTCTGTTGTTTTGCTGTTGACATGGCCTGAGAAAGGCTAGGTTCACAACAGGAGAATTTTATTCACGAGAAACAACAGGAGAATTTTATTCACGAGAAACCCAGGAACCGCATTCCTTAGTTGTAACCGGCCCGAGCTCCAGGCATGAATGAGGCAAGTTTCATCTTCAATATTTACTGAAAACAGACGCTGAAGTTTGAGAAGCAAATGTAAAGTGCTCATTCCAAAGCCTCTTTATATACATGTTAAATCAGTTTGTGGGAAAGAGACCACAGAGCTTGTTTAAACATTCATACTGATGACACAACTGTTCTAAAATATGCAGTTTCTTGTAGTTATATGTGGAATTAATTGCATATGGAGAAAGTCATCTTTTGAAACTAGCTAAAAGGAAATAGTCCATAACTCAGTGATATCAACATACACACCACTGTGCTGGGGACTCTACTTCACTTTTTTTCTTATCTCAGCCACTGTCTGAAGACGCTGTTTTCTCACTCAAGGCGTCATGACTCAGCTATGTAGCTCTGTCGAGAGACAGAAAAAAAATATCTGGGGCCAGAATGGAAGAGATAGCATTTAAGCACAACTGGAACTGTTGTGACCCCGGATTCTGGAGTGCAGCTCACTTCACCATGTTGCCGTCGGCGGAGAAGTCTAGAAGAGTTGGTTCCTCTCTGCCCTTGAATTCCATCAGAGTCATGTGGCAAGTCATTTGGAAGTAGATTTTCTCCCTTACCACACAGCACATTCCAATAGTCATTTTTAACTGAATTACCCCAAATTCTTAGCAGGGTCTCCTGTTAACCACAAGCAGCTAGATAGCTATGTTTAGACAGCAATGGCTCCTTATCTTCTTCACGCTGAGGGAAATCAATGGTCCTTTCCTAGGGCGGCTTGAGGTTCAGCTCCTCTGGGATGGAATCAGACCTCCACCACAGCCCTCAACCACAGGGAGTGGGACTCCCCCATATGTCTTATTCACAGCAGTAATCACACTTTTAGTACATCTGTTGTTTTAAATTTTCAGCCCCATTAATTCATCCCTTTTAAACAAAAAGATATGAGGAGTTGAGAATCTCCATATTCACTTTGAAGTCCCCTCACTTAAAGGGGAGATTTGGGGGAAGAAAATTGAGACATGAGGCAATCCTAAAAATATGAATAAAAGAATATAAATATTTCTCCAGCCTCTCTAGTCTTCATTAAAATACATAAGAGGAAGAAACTGGTTTGCCCTTCTATATTTAATTTGGACTCTAACCTCTTTGAAAATTCAGCAGTATGATTAATTTTAGCTTATCTTACAGAATGACTCTTCACCTATAAATAAGTCTATTCATCTTCAGAAGACCATAAATATGCCTCCTGGTTTAGAGTTATTTTTAAATATCTCTTACATATAATTGTAATGAGATCTGTTTCAAGGACAATAGCTTAGTATCAGTTACATTTCTATTATGTTCTGTTAGTTTCTTGGTTGGGAAACATGCAAAAATGAGCTTACTTGGATGAATATGAATATTCAATGTTAAACAGAGCAATAAAGACAAAAGAGAACCTGATATTTGATCTAACAAGACTAAAAAGAGCAAAATAAGAGGAGAAGAGAAGAGGAGGAGGAGGTGGAGACAGAGAAGGAGAGGTAAAGAAAAAATGAAAGAGTTGTAGGAGGGAAAGGATAAAAGCTTGGGAGTTTCAAATTTCAGGTAAAGGTGTAGAAATTTTTATTTTTAATTTCTTTCTATGTTGTCCCACATAATATTGGAAAATAGGTAGAATATTGAGGGGAGAACAGGACAGGCATTAGAGGTTCTTTCCCTACCCCTTCATCAGCTAAGTGCCTGATTCTCCACTTTTCTATGTCTCAGAGTCCCCAGACTCAAATGAGGTTTGCACACCTACACAGGAACGTGTTCTCTCTATACTCAGACACTAAACATGGCATAGCATTATTGGATGTCTTGAGGCCAACGATGTCAGAAGTTATTTTCAGTATAAAGTTATATACAAGTAATTAATAATACTTATAACAATCATATATGCTTCAAATTGGTGATAAAAGCAACCTGGTATATGAAAAATGACATACTTGGCTATTAAAAATTATATTGCTACAGAAAAAAGTTAAGTATCTGGTATTTCTAGGGCCACAATTCATTTCTTATATTAGAACTCAAATCTTTAAAATAAAAACTCACACATGGGGAATTACACTTGGGACTTTACACATGGGAAATGAATGATCAACTTTTCCTTCCTAGGTCATCTCCCATCGGAATAATAGACTTTCCACTCTATAGAAGACAAAGGACTTGCTTTTCTCCAGAAAAATATCTCCCCATTGATAAATAATGAGCAAATGCAGAACACTTAAGTAGTGTTCCCATCAGTAGTGTGAACCCTGTCAGCACTAACCAGCTGGTCCTTGTCTGTTCTGCAGTCAAAGAAAACGGGAACTCAGTGTGCATCCGAGTTCCCAAGGAGGGGAGGCTACGATTTGCCAGGTGTGAGCATGGGCAGAATGCCCAGTCCCAGGTCATTTTATAAAAAACTTTGCTCAGGCATGGCCAAAAAAGCTGTGGCAGTCCTGAGGAAGCCAGAAAAAGACCATCATTGCTATTTCTGCAACATGCTTACACCCTCTGCAAAACATCCTTGTATTTTCTTGAATTGGTAAACAAGAGTTCAGAGAGCAAGTTAGAGTCATGAATGACAGTTGGAGTGGTAGGCAATTTAATTGTTATGATTTCTATCATTCATCAAATCAATACAATTATTTCAGTAACCAAATATACATTCAGAGAAACCAAGATTATAGCAGGCAGGTGTGGTGAGTGAAGAATTAGCAGATACCAATTTGCTTCTATTTGCAGAATCCAGGAATCAGGATCATATTTACTAATATACCTTGCAGGCAAAGCTTTTAGGTATTTTCATGTAATTGTTATGCAGCAAATCTTGGGCAATTCATTTTACGTTTGTCTAACCCAGAAAGGTAAACTGGAATGATAGTGTTTTTCTGAATAATTTGATCCAATGAAATAATGACCTGGAGTCGCATGGTGATGTCAGGGTTCTTGCAGCTCACGCCTTAGAACCGAGTTACATGGGAGACCATGTTTGAACAATGTCCTTTAAGGAATTCAGTAACTAAACCCCACTGGACGGGAGCCAAAACAAGCCTGCTTAATGCCAAATTCCACTATAGTGGGTCATGTTATTGGATGGCTCAAATGAATCTGGGCCATGAAAAAGGACCTCGCTCCCTCTATAGTTTTTTGTCTGAACTATCCAGATAATTTCTTCATTTTTCAACTTTCATTTTTCTGCGTGGAGTAGAAAGCTCAGCTCTACTTACTTAGTTTTGTCTTTTGTTATAATCAAATCATTACCTGTAATTCTCAGAAATCATCCCCATAAAAATAAGTAACTTTTGTATATTTCAAAAAGAACCACCTAGTTCCACATGGTTACTTATTCTTTTATACATTTATTCATTTCTTCATTGTGATTCATTCAGCAAATATTTACTGGACAAACACAATATACATTATCCTTATGTATTATGCCACTTATTTGGGAATCTCTAATTAGCAGAAAAATATTTCAGATATTAAGAAACATCAGGAAAAAGTAAACAGTTTTTGGAAAAGTTCTCCTGAAGTGCTATGTTTCTTTAAAAACAAAAAGTTTAACCTGCAAAACAAGTGTATTATTTGAAGTTTACACAGCACATTTTACTGGAAAATGTTCCAAGCATTAACATTTAATCTTACCAACATTAGTCCCAGAAAAAAACCAACCTTTTCTTTCTTTGAAAACTGGAGAAGCAGAGCTGCAGTTTGCAAATTTTCCTCTGTTGGATGAACTTTTAGATCTAGACCACTTGTCCCTTACTAAATTCAAGTCATTCTGGAGAGCTCTAAAATATCATGAAAGGAGGATACACAAAAAGTAGGGTATTCTTTCACCCCACCCCTCATTTCTATTTTCCCAATACCTTTCCCTAAACCTTATCAGCCCATTTGAAAAAGAAAGTGATTTATATTTGAAGATAACCCATGTGTTTTGGATCTCTTTTTCTGCTATGATATTAATCATTTCTTACTTGCATCTTGCAAGAAACAACAAAAAATAACAAATAGATATCCTCCTGCCAAATGAAAAAAAGTTCTATAACCTAAGGTTCAGGATGAGAGAAGTTATATTCTTAGGGTACTAAGGTTTAATAATAGATTTGTGATCATTTTGAGTTCTTCAAATACCGTCTGCAGTGACCTGACAGCAGGGGGTTGAAGGAAGAAGAGAGTGGACAGTCATAGTTACATGAAAACAAAGCTACAGGGCTCAGTTGTGGTTTGTCTGGTTGTGTTCCTGCTCTCATGAGTGACACTTACCCAACTCCAACTCTTCAGAAGGGGCCCAACAGAGGACAGACAATCATCCATGCAAAGGCTGTAGGAAGAGTCAAACACCTGGTGAGTAGATGAACCAGATGATCATAAATTATTTTTTAATTCCAAAGTTGTATGAATCCAAATTAAAATTTTTAGGTTTTGTTGTAGTTTTTAATCTTTTGTGTGTGTGACAGAGAATGTAAAACAGAATGCACATACAGAAAAGTACATAAACCAAGCTACTGTGAAATGACCATTTAGGTCAAGAATAGAGCACAGTCATCTCTGAAGTCTTTCCACGACCCTTACCAATCTCATGCCCCATATCCTGACTTTTATGGCTGCATTAGTCCATTCTCACATTGTTATAAAGATACTACCTGAGACTGGGTAATTTATAAAGGAAAGAGGTTTAATGGACTCACAGTTCAATGGCACAGTTCATGGCTGGGAAGGTCTCAGGAAACTTAAAATCATGGTGGAAGGGGAAGCAAGCATGTCATTCTTCACAAGGCAGCAGGAGAGAGAAGAATGGGCAAAGGAGGAACTTGCCAAACACATAAAACCATCAGATCCCCTGAGGACTCATTCACTATTACAAGAACACATGGGGGAAACCACCCCCATGATTCAATTACCTCCACCTGGTCTCTCCCTTGACATGTGGGGATTATGGGGATTAAAATTCAAGATGAGATTGTGGGTAGGGAACACAGCCAAACCATATCAATGTTAAACTTTTCTTTTTAGATCTATCACTATGCAATCAATATAGTTTAATTTGCATGTTTTAGAAAAAACCTTATATAAACAGAACCATATACTATATGTTTTGCTATTTTTGTTCTACCTTATGGTTCTAAGATTGACCCATGCTGTTAGACATAGTTGTCCTTCCTTCATTTTTGTGGCTAGACCCAGATAAGTTCTGATGAATAAAGGCTTAGGCAAGTCCTGAGCCCCCTCGGCTGTTACTTCATTGGTAATTCAGCAGGACTGGTTATTCTGTATGTAGGGTTCTGTTGCAGAGAACAGAATACTCTCTAGCTCATTTAGGCAGGTAGCAATTTACTACCTGCTTTTAAGTGATTTTAAGATTTTAAGATTTTAAGTGGCATAAAGAATTCTTGGAAGGAGAGACAACACAGCCTATAGAGTGACCTTTTGCTTACCTTCCTTTGCCCTGCCCAGCTACACACAGTACTGGACACCAAGGGAGCTGCTGCCACTCTAGGATCAGGGCTCCTCAGGCTCCAGCACCATATTGCCACTGCCTTGATCACAAAGCCACTGCAATCAGAGACCCTCTTGATTAAAAGGTACCAGGATTATGAAGCCACTAATGCTACATACTCCAGAACCATTCTATTCCTGACACAAACTGCACTAGCAAAAATGGATGTCCATTGCCTTTCTCTTGAATACCCATGCAATGTACCTATGCTAGCAATCAAATCTCTGCTGACATTGCCAAGAAGACCAAACACCCTTATAACACACCTGCCAGCAAAAATGGCAAAAGCAATATGAGGATATTTGGTTTGCAAAGTCTAAAAACATCTGGGACTTTAGATGAAGTGTGTGAGAAAAAGCAGTCTTCATTGTATATCACAGCAATAGCTTTCAAATTTGAGATCAGAACCCATCATTAGCAGATCATGAGAACATTAAAAGAAACAAAATAGAACAGAATAGAAAATATCAGAAGTCATTAACTCAGTAAGCACAAGTATTATTTTGTAGTACACATATGTGTATACTGGATTGCAATATCAGATGTTTTTCTTACAGTGGGTTGAGTTCTTTAAAAAGTTTAAAAGCCACTGCACTAAAAGGAGGGTAGAATAGGTATTGAGTGCCCATCAACCATATTCACCACAATTCCTCTTATTGAACATAGACTTCAACTGTTGAACATGTTCAACAATGAGACTCTTGGCAGATCTTGATGGCTAGTGTCTTCTAACAATCTACTTTGGAGCATCTTAGTGGTCTGGATCATCCTTACAGCCTGAGCAATTCAGAAACACAAGACACAGTGCTGGTGGCTTGGATCAAATCCTCTCCACAAATGCCTTAAATTCAGCTAAGATCACTTAAGCTCCAGAAAAGATAGGATTTGGAAGTCTGTGTGTTGCCAGTAACTGGTAGAGTACTCGGACTGAGGACACAGATGGTTGTGTCTACCTGCCTCCCTTTTGAAGTCATCCTCCACAAGTCCCTTTGTGAGCTTTTAAAAACACAAACCTGATTATTTCACTTTTGTTTTAAAGCATTTGAAATATTCTTTGGCTTACGGCAGTGATTCATAAACTTGAGATGCTGTTAAAATACAGATTCCCAGATCCTCCTTAGGGATTCTAACTCAATAACTTCAGGATGAGTCCCAGGAATCTGTACTTTTAGTGAGAACCTCTAGTGAATAAAAACTGGACTACTAAGCATGATCAAAACAATTTGTTCCACACCAAACTGGCCCACCTACATTTTTCCATTCTGTTTCTCCCTCCCCACCAGCAGTCTCTCTTCTCTTACCTTCTTGTTGCCCTCCCTCTTGCTCCCATGTCAAACATCCTTACCCTCCCCTCACTTCCACCCAAAGACAAAGAACTTACCTTAAAGAACCTAGCTCCAATATTACCTCTTTGGGAAACCTTTTATATGCTAATAAAGCTTTTTTTGATACTCCATATATTTTATAATGCATTATAATATTGTGGTAATCACATTAAATTGTAATTATTTGTTGACATGCCATTTTTCCTTACTAAAACTAGGACCACATTAGGTACAATCAGTGTATCTTAAGGTTGTTGTTGTTGTTGTTGTTGTTTTGTCTTGCTTTTTTCCCCAGGCTGGAGTGAAGTAGTACCGTCTTGGCTCACTACAACCTCCACCCCCCGAGTTCAAGTGATTCTCCTGCCTCAGACTCCTGAGTAGTTGGAATTATAGGTGCCTGCCACCATGCCTGGCTAATTTTTGTATTTTTAGTAGAGACAGGGTTTCACCATGTTGGCCAGGCTGGTCTCGAACTCCTGACCTCAGGTAATCTGCCAGCCTCGGCCTCCCAAAGTTCTGGGATTATAGGTGTGAGCTACCACACCCAGACATCTTATTTTTTTTTATATTTCCAGTGCCCGGCACATGGCAGATGTATCAACAATTTTTATTTAATGAATGAATGAGTGAACGAATTATATATGGATGAATGGTTGGATTGATGGATGGTTAGATGGATATAACAGCTTCTCTAAAATATGGAATTTAAAAAATATTGGTCTACAATGGAGATTAGGACTGTTACAGCTGGAACAGCTGATCATAGTTGCTGAAGCCTTTGGAAAACTAAGTGCATATGGGTTAAAACCAGGTTCCATGAAATTCAATGTTAGCCATCAATAATGTTGAGTGTGGAAGGTGGAGGTTTGATTGGGAACTGAATATTGGCATAGTATCAAAGTATTTCCCTGCCAAATACTTATCAAGAGGAAAAACATCGAGTTTATGATGGAGAAACTTATTAGACGTCAATTTGATCCAGTGAACTGCTGTTCACTGGTGGAGGGAGAGCTTGACCTCGTGTGTCTTTTGATGTGATAGCCCAAGTAAAGTACAGCATCAGAGCATTCCTGCAAAGTAATAATGGCCTGATTCTGGACATGAGGAATCATCAGATATACTTAGGTAGAGGAATATCTACAGAATGAAGAGATAGAAAGCTTGAAGAACTGTTCCAGAATGAAGAAGATTTAAAAATCTATGACAATTAAATGCAATGCATGATCCTGGGTAGACTCCTGCACAAGAAAATAAAGAGATATTATTGGGACTGTTGGAAAAATTTGAGAGTGTTCTGTTAATTAGATAGTAGTGTTGTATCAATGTTGACTTCTTAATTTGGAGGGTTGTAAGGTGGTTATGTAGGAGAATGCATTTGTTTTGGAGAAATACACACTGGAGGAACAGGGAGTGATTAATCATCAGGTCTGCAATTACTGCTTAAGTGGTTTATAACAGAATAATGTAAATGTTGCGAGAGAGAGAGAAATGGAGGAAAGGGGTAAAATGTTAATAATTGGGAACTTTGGGTAAGGAGATATGGGAGTTTTTGTACATATCTTGCCAATTTTCTGTAAATTTCATTTAATAATAATTGATTGACTTCTACTTGTGACCAAGATGGAATAACAGGGATCAGATTTAGCTCTCTGACTCAAACAACTGCCAAGGTAGCTAGAGTGTGTAGGACGGAGTAGTTGGGATACAGAAGAGAATAATTCTGGAGATCCTTAGAGGATTCCCTTTGAGTATTCAGCAGAGTGCTGATTAAAGCACGTATGTGAGAAAATGATCCAAAGCTGGAGAAACTATTAGATAAAAAGTATTCTGCAGTCACAAAGGGCTGGGAATGGGGTCTGTTCTCAATAGCCAGACTGAAAAATCTCGTAATTTATGGAACATTGGATAGAGTAGTTAGAAAGGTCCCGTCTCAGTACTAAGGAATAAGTTACCAAGACTAAGTGCTGCCGTGGTCCAGCCTAACAAATCTTAAAAAGACTCAAAAGGATCAAAATGTTTCCAGGGAACTTAACTATATCCCAGAACAAAGCTCACGAATATTTATAGCTACACAAAAATATCCAGGACCCAACAAGGTAAAATTCACAGTGTCTGGCATCCAATAAAAGAGTGCCAGACATTCCAAGAAGCAGAAAAAATGAGACCCATAATGAAGAGAATAATCAATCAATTGAAACCTACCCAGAACTGACACAGACGTTAGCATTATTAGACACAGACATTTGAAGAGTTAATTTAACCGTATTCCAAAAGCTAAAAAAAGATATAGAATATGTTATAAAAATACAAAACAAATCAAACAATGAGAGCTAAAAACTATAATGTCTGAGATAAAAAATTCACTAGATGGCATTTATAGCAGTTAAAATGTTACAGAAGAAAAGATTAGTAAACTTGAAAACATCAGCAGAAGCTACTCAAGACAAAACACAGAGAGGAAAAAAAAGTATTTTAAGATAATTATAAGAGCTTCAGTAG